TTCATCAGGATGACTTGTGTTCTTGGCAGTGAACTTAGTGAACTTTTGAATGATGACTATTTTTCCCAACTGTTAACAATGTGAGCTTATCATGAATATGTTTAATTAATACTGAGTTATTCAAATAAAGGTTCTTCTGTCTACATTGCATATTTTGTTGTGATGTTTTGTTGTACCATCATAATGGTACATTTTGTGAAGCAGACTGCCTAATTTGATGCCATGAAATTACACACAAAATTAGAGCTCAGGTTGCACCAGCAAGTACCATTTTCAGCATGCTGTTCTTGTTTTTGGCGGACGACAGAGGGGACACCTACCTCTCCTTCTCTCTTCCTCGTTGTGTTCTGTCACGGGAAAATGCTCCCCAGTTTCCAGACAAAATTTACTAATACTTTTTTTTCTTGATTAGTAAATTTACTATTACCTAGCAAATTCCAGAGAGAGCCCAGGATAGGGGTACCAGTGTGGAGTACAGAAGTGATCAGATAGGGGTACCAGAGTGGAGTACAGAAGAGATCAGATAGGGGTACCAGTGTGGAGTACTGAAGAGATCAGATAGGGGTACCAGTGTGGAGTACTGAAGAGATCAGATAGGGGTACCAGTGTGGAGTACTGAAGAGATCAGATAGGGGTACCAGTGTGGAGTACTGAAGAGGACAGATAGGGGTACCAGTGTGGAGTACTGAAGAGATCAGATAGGGGTACCAGTGTGGAGTACTGAAGAGATCAGATAGGGGTACCAGTGTGGAGTACTGAAGAGGTCAGATAGGGGTACCAGTGTGGAGTTCTGAAGAGGTCAGATTGGGGTACCAGTGTGGAATACTGAAGAGATCAGATAGGGGTACCAGTGTGGAGTACAGAAGAGATCAGATAGGGATACCAGTTTGGAGTACTGATGAAGTCAGATAGGGGTACCAGTGTGGAGTACTGAAGAGATCAGATAGGGGTACCAGTGTGGAGTACAGACGAGGACAGATAGGGGTACCAGTGTGGAGTACAGAAGAGGACAGATAGGGGTACCAGTGTGGAGTACAGACGAGGACAGATAGGGGTACCAGTGTGGAGTACAGAAGTGATCAGATAGGGGTACCAGTGTGGAGTACAGAAGAGATCAGATAGGGGTACCAGTGTGGAGTACAGAAGTGATCAGATAGGGGTACCAGAGTGGAGTACTGAAGAGATCAGATAGGGGTACCAGTGTGGAGTACTGAAGAGGTCAGATAGGGGTACCAGTGTGGAGTACTAAAAAAGTCAGATAGGGGTAGCAGTGTGGAGTACTGAAGAGATCAGATAGGGGTAGCAGTGTGGAGTACTAAAAAGGTCAGATAGGGATCACGGTTAGCAAAACTAAAGTCATTAGGTTAGAGTTGGAGTGAGAAGAACTGAAGCGGTGCTCACCTGCTGCATGGCAGCGTCTTGTGGAAAAGGAATGTCTCGGAAATCAGCATCATCGTCTTCACTTGATGAATGTAATGGATGACCACCGACCTAGTACAAGAATGTACAATTATTACTTGACAAATATCACTGGTCAGATTGGTCATAACGACATGACAGCAACTAAACATATGCTAGTTCGTTTTTAGTGCTTCAGAAAAAGCCTGAAATCAATAAAACCTGTGCGAGCCTTCATCTTGGAAACCAACAATGTCTAATACACCCATGCCTCTGCGTTACATGTCATTTTATTTTGAAGAGGCTTCATGATATTAATGGCCACCATCTCATGGACACAAATAAACCAAATGAATTATTTGATATTGACAAATAATATTTGTCTTCATATTAATTTTTTAAATAGTTCAACCTCAAATCAAGATGGCAGATTAACTTGACTTTACGCAACAGTCACTGGTTTCTGTATAACCAATACTGTTTTTCTCTTGAGACTGTGGCCCATGGAAGGAGTTAAGTAAGTTTTTATGTTCAACCCCAAGTAGGATTTAATCAATACTCACCAAATCTGTTGAGTTTTTCTTATTTGTTTCTGCTAAAGACCCTGACACAAATACATCCCACCTTTCGCGGTCCTCTTGTGAAATGTGTTCTGTAAGGAGAAAGAAACCACCATGGGTTCATTAAATGTTAATTACGGAATGATGTTAATATCACCTTAGATAATTCTGGTAGAAATTGTGTTAGCACTTGTGTATAGTGAGTCTTAATAAGAAATAGACAATTTATTATGTGCCTCTTTATTATAAATGGAATAAAGCGTGTCCCACAAATCAACAACAGAATGACCTAGGTTATAAAATATAGTGATGAAAATGAATACAATAACGAAAGATCTGAAAAATAAATGACATACCTTTAAAATGAGTTTTAATAAGTTGACTATTACATCCTTTGTCCATTGCATGAACTATGTCGTTACATATGCGTGTGAGGTGACCCATGTAACCCTTTCTCTTGCCAGTATTCTTGGCTTCTAGCTGGTCATTTTCTTCCCAGCAATCTAATATTCTCTCAATTAATTTACAATCAGAAAATAACTGTGAAAAAAGATGCATTTGTCAAGATTACATTTGAATATCAATGAGCATGATACCAAAACTTGTAATTCATAATTACAGAATATTTTAGTGTGGAGATACTCTAAGACTCTAACTATATGAAATACTTACATAAGCCAACATAGCTTATTTTCTGTCTTTGTTTCTATCCTTGTAGCGGAGCTATGTCACATATGTTAACGTTCCACGTTATGGGCTCAGCGCGCACTGCTGAGGAACATGGAACACCGAGCGAAAAGCCAATGAAAATTCGAAAAACAACAGGAACTTAACTTTGAAGTAATCATGAACAATCACATTTATATGCATTACACACACAAAGGTAATCTTGTTACACTGTTCAGGGGAGTCTCAACAACCATCCCAAAGTACCGTTTTCTGAGAATTTTCACTGTGATGGTTGCCATGCTGTAAAAATGCCTGCCCCGAGAATTCAACACTCCTCCCACATACGCCCAAAATGCATGTACATGAAATACTTACATAAGCTAACATTGGATGTTCTTGTTTACCGTCTTCAGACTCTGTGGCTGTATTGCTAATAACTGTATTTATACACTGTTCTACTTGAGTATGAAGAAAATTATTCCATGTATACTGGAAGAACAAATCCTGATAAACAACAGAGAGAGACATAATGTTAACACAAATTATTATACATTGTCACCATAACGCCATAAGTTACAGCGTGCCATAATTTTGCGGTATTTTACAGAGTATTTTCATCCTACCATATTAGGAAATGTGAATTCCAAATATGGAATGATTATGCGCGTAAGCACCCTCTAATAATAAAAAACAAACATGGCTGCCACCAGGGTTTGACCGGACTCCATACAAAGAAGTTCCCTGATTCTGTTCTGAACTTTTTGAATTTCGGCATTCCCATGATGTATTCGTGGAAGGAAAAAATGTATAATAATAAGGTTATCATTAAGATACCTCAAAGTATGCACTCAGACAGTATGCTGTCGCATTGACCTCCGCTGCGCGTCGGTCGATACTGCCGTTGTACTGTCTTCGTGCATACTTTGAGGTAACTTCGTAATAACCTTATATTGTTTCATGTATACTGGAAGAACAAATCCTGATAAACAACACAGAGTCCTAATGTTAACACAAATTATGTATACAGTCTCACAAATCCTGAGTGCCAGAACTTTGCACAGACAATAGAATACCTAGTGCTAGAAAACAGTGCACAAGATGTCCAGGAAATCATATTCATGCCCTGAAAAAAAATGTACTCACCAATAATGTTTTAAGTGTTGATAATTGGCAAAGTTCTTTATTAACTGTATGAGTATTTGTTAATAATAATGCTGCTATCAGTCGAGCTACTTGTAACCGCGTGTTCCCAAGAGGGGGTTCTAACATTCCTATCGTTGTAGGCATTGCACGGTGCTGAAAAACAAAGCCAATTGTCACAAATTCACATAATAAGTATATAATTCATATCACAAAGTTGGTTTATTGAAATAAAATGCAAGATATGGCATCACAGTCACACACTATAAAGCTAAGGTATTTGGTTTAAACACAATCAGACTCAATAAAGACAATGATGTAAAATGTGAGAGTAGGACTTTTCTAAAATCATACTGTAAACAGTATCATTACAATGATTAAAAGTCAAAAAAATAAAGCCAAATCAATACTGGAAAAGTTGACCCAGCTAAGTACTGATGATTGGTTGTCACACTACTTAGGCTAGGATAGTGTGATATATTTAGTGAAACATTCCTTGCCAAAAGGTATTTTGAATTTGAGAAAATTGTCAAACATTTGTGCACACCCCTTTTGTCAAAGAAATCAATTGCGGGCTACCAAAAACCCTTTCATTAGAACTTGACTTCAACAAGAAGTTGAAAATATCACTTTTTACCAAAAATTACAAAAATATTCACCAAAATTAGAGAATTAAAGATATCATTATGAAATGAACGAATCTGAGAGAGGTTCACATGTAGTACCTATATATATGTTATATATAAGCAAGTGGACTTGCGGTTTTCAACAAGAAGTCAAAAATATCCCTTTTTACCAAAAATGACAAAAATATTCACCAAAATTAAAGAATTGAAGATATAATCATGAAATGAACAAATCTGAGAGAGGTCTACCCAAGGTACAAATACACCAAGTATCAAAGCATTCAGGCTTGTAGTTTTCAAGAAGAAGTCGAAAAAGTAAAACATTGACACGGACAATCACTCATATGATAAGCTCTGCTCGACAAAGTCGACAGCAGAGCTTATAAAAAATAATGTTTATTACAAATGTAGCAGTATTTCAGCATGACTTTTTATAATGAAATCTTTTTTTTTCTTATGCATATTATTCTATCATTTTCAACATACTGCTGACTAATACTAAAACAAATATATGTAGACAGAATTTGACATATATTGTCACTGTTACAGGTGCCCATGTCAAAAACTTACAAGTAGCATTCTACCTTAGGGAAAACACTGTAGATTATAGAACTAGCCACCATGGTTTTTCCCCCCAAGTACCGTTAAAGTCCTAATATAAACCGCATACGTAATAGTAACCGCACCCCCAATTCCGGCTTCGGGGTTAAAGAGTTCTTAACAAAAATTAAAAACTTGAAAAGTACCTACTACTAACCGCACCCCCAATTCAACTAGACCGTGACTGACTTCATTGTTTCAACCAGCTGTTCCAAAACGGCATTGTTCCTAATCCTATTCATTTGTTTCGACAACATGCCTAAAAATATTCACACCTATTTATTGTTCAGCGGTGATAAGATGTCAGACAGGCAATGAAACTGCTTTTGTCTGGCG